TACTACTCTCTCTCTCTCTCTCTCTCTCTCTCTCTCAGTATCCTCTCTGTCTGTTTCCCTTTCTTTTCAAGGCAAATAATGGTTGCATGAGTTAGAGGATACTTACATTTTATATAACAAGAGAACTATTGTCTTTAGCAGTGATTTAAACAACAGATCGGTGGCACAGATAGGGCATCCAAAAATCTGTCCGAATCGACCACCTGCAGCGTCGTTTTACTTTGCAGATAGCAAAGTGAACCGACAAAAACATACATGAAAAAATAGTAAACCAGCTAGAAACTTGTCGCTGTCTTATTGTACGGAACCACAGGTTCTTTTTTAGATGCAGCCGTTTTTTTTATATATATGTAAAATCCGAATAAGGCCATCGATTCTCGAATCGAACTAAGTGATCATGTACCGACCGGGCGTTTTTTAAATCGCTGGTCTTTAGGAGTATTAGACTATAATTTCTGTGTGTTTTTTTATTGTTGTATTAGACTATTAAACAATCCGATTTCCTTTTCTGGTCGAAACTGTAACGTGTTCATGGGTGAGATAATAGATATGTACAAAGAAAATTCAGTCTTTAGGAATATTACACTATTTTTTTTTTGTAATGATAGACTATTAAACAATAGTTTTCTCTTCTTTTCAAAGTAATAGCATGTGCCTGAGTGAGAGAGAATAGTCAGACTTCTATACAAACGAAAACTCTTGTCTTTATTAGACAATAAATTTTTTCAATCCTCTTTATTAGGAATACCACTTTTGAGGCGGATAAGAGACCATAGGGATTAAAGATTCCATATAAGTCTCTCTTCTCCAAAATATAATCATACCATACAATAACCATCTCAGGTAAAAAAGTAACTCTAGGATCTTCTATCAGAATTTTCTTTTCTATAAATAATGCAAAAAAGGTATACTACTCCTGCAGCAGTAGAATGCCCCTCTATTCCCTCAGGTAAAACCCTACCTAGGATCAAGTTTAGGACCCCCAATTTTTTCGGATGTAACCTATTCAGCCATAGATTAATCTCAATATTTTTTTTAAAAAAAATTTACCTTCTATTCACTTGAAAAAAAAATTATATGATCAAGATTGGTTAGAGACCATCGAATTTTTAGATGGTGAGATCTAAGTGTTAGAAAACTCAAATTTTAATTTTTGTTTTTGAGAATAATCATCTAGAAATTATTAAGTAGCTCCCAAAATTTTAGATTGAAAAAATCCTCCTAAGTAGGTCCTCTGACCAAGGGAGTAGATAGTCTATGCTCCCAAGGGAGCATAGTATACGCACTAAAAAATAATATTTTACATAAAACAAATTTAAAGTAGGGAAAATTATAGACACCCCCAATTTCAATTTTCTACATATTTTACCCCCAATATATTTTCTATTATGCCCTAAATTTGAACATTATTTTTTTTTGTATTTATCCCTCAGTTAAATAGTCAAAGCATTTTGAGACCAAAAGAAAAAGAGAGGAAAAAAGCGCATATTGGTCTCAAAATGCTTTGACTATTTGATAAATGGGCAAATACAAGGAAAAATAGTACGGGGTTTAGGGTATAACAAAAAAAATGTGCGGGGTACGATGGGGAAAAAGTTGAAATTGAGGGTATTTATAATTTTTCCTTTAAAGTTTTTTTTTTTTTTTGTTTTTCATTAGAAGTGAGCCTGTTTTTTTTGTTTTTCATTAGAAGTGAGCCTGTGAATAAATTCTATGTTATTCAACTTATAGCCCCAAAAATTAATCCTGGCTGAGCCAAATAAACCTCATTTGTACACCCAAGGGTCAGCCTGATAATACGTATTTGCCAGGCTTGTCGGCCTGAGCAGCTGGCTTACAACCCTAGGAAAGAGAGAGAGAGAGGAGGGCTCTATTCATGGGTAGTCAACCATACTAGCTTGCTAGTGGGTCCCTCGAGCGTCGTGGCCGTGTCTTGCACTACTGCTTGGGGCTGGGGCACTCCTAAAAAACAAAATGTGTTCCTCTGTCAAGAGTTATATTGATTGCTCATGTAATATATTTTTTTGGTTTTTTAATAAGGAAATTTTTTTAATAGAGCCTAGGCTCTAAACAATTAAATTAGAGATCATTTAAAAAATTGCACTAGAAGACGTTGTTTTGACGCGTAAATATCCTTAAATTGATCATCTCAACATTAAAATGCATGTACATGAGAAAAAAAATAGATTTTAAGTTTTAAAAATAGTGTATATGGTCAATTTTCAAGATTTTCAAGTTTTGATAGATTAGTTCGATCTACATTAGTTTGGAAGCTTTAAATTTTATAATTAAAAATGAAAATATATTTTAAGGCTATAACAAATATTTCCAATATTGAAACCACATTCTCGATACTATTTGAAGATGCGTTTTACTTTAATTACTTTAGAGTCTCAACTCTATACAAACCACAACTCCTTAATAAAACAGGTAGGAGCTTGATATCCCCACTGATTCACCCAAAAAGACATTGGCATTTAGAATTCTATTGTCATTATGTCCTAAACTAATATCGGCAAAAAAAAAAAAAGCAAGACATCTGTAGTTCGATTTCTATAGCTAAACAAACATGAATGAGAGAGAGAATCACCAAATTAACAGTAAAGCAAAAGAGAGAGAGAGGTCAGAGAATCACCGAGTTAACTATAAAACAGGAGAGAGACAAGGAATCTGAATTGGTACATTTTGTATTCCTTAAAGAGAGAAACTGACTTGGTGTGTGTTGTATTCTTGGATGGGACAGATATGAAAAGGAGTTACCAGGTGTGGACATATTTGTGTGCACTGCGGACCCATACAAAGAGCCACCAATGCTTGTTATGGGCACTGTTTTATCACTCATGGCCTACGATTACTCACCTCACAAACTCAGTGTGTATCTCTCTGATGATGGGGCCTCAGACCTCACGTTCTATGCATTATTGGAGGCTTCCAAATTTGCAAAACATTGGGTACCCTTCTGCAAGAAGTTCGACATAGAGCCAAGGGCCCCTAAGCGTTTCTTCTCCATTTCAAATTCATCTATGGACCATCACAGTGAGGAATGGACCACCATCAAGGTCTCCCTCTGGTTTTTTTTTCTCTCTCTCTAAAAAATCTTGGTTTCTTTTCTTACACAAACCATTAAGGTTTCTTTCTAGGGGACCCACCAGGACGGACTGTCCGCAAGTGGAAAGGTTCAATCCAAATCAATGTCTTTCTCCTAATGAGCTAAAGCTGTTATAATTTTTTTAATATGTCTATTTTACAAAACCCTTATCAGTGATCCGCATCGGGTATGGATTTAGTTTAAATATTTAAAAATAAATAAAATAAAATTAGAATAGGAGTTTATGGGGTGGGGATTGGAAGGGATGATAAAATTTCAAGAAATTGTGTGTCATGTAGGTGCATTTACATATAAAGGGATACTTCTGATCATTTTGTAGATACCTGTGTTTCGAAACCCAGCAATTTTTTATATAGATTGCTGATTCGAATGTGAATCCGTAGGAACCGAATCAGTTTTAGGACTTCATGGTTCCAGCCCATTGCCCCCAACATCCCATTCCCTCCCCCCAAGCCACCCCATGTATACTTTTTCTTTTTTTGAGCTCGTTTAATATTTTTTTAAGTTCACTCTAAATCCCCACTCTATAAATCTTATTTAATTTTTATTTTATTTTATTATATTTTAATATTTTTTTAGATCAAGTTCACCTCCTCTCTCATATTTACCATATATATCTCTCTCACAAATAAAAACTTCACCAATCTCTCAATTTTTTTTGAAGAGAGAGGGGATGAAAGTCCAAAACATCAAACTAGGATTCAATCCCTAGACCTTCTTCTTTTTTCTCTTCTTCTTTTTTTCTTTTTTTGTGAATTAATGAAGAGAGAATCCTTGCTTTTGATAAGAATTGAGGTTAGTATATAGCGTTGCAAATCTTTTAGTAAAAATTAAGCCTAGTATCTAGTATTGCAAATCGTCAAGCGCTAATCAATTAAACCTGAGCTCTTTACCCGAGCTCTTTTTCCTAGACCTTGATGCAGGTGAACTACACACCACCATGACGCCAGGTTAAACAGTCAATTCATCGATATCTCTCTCCCCCACGTACTTGGGCGTGTGCCTCTCTCTCTCTCTCTGCATATAGCAAATAGTCATAACTCCGCCAATCTCTTCCTTTCAAACAATCGTCTATCACATAGTTATTACGACTAATCTGAAGTTCCTGAACCCGTATGACCAAGAGGTTTGGCTAGTCTGGGCGATGATAGAAGTGGGGTTTGTTAAAATTGGTGAAAATTAATGTTTAATCAGTTTTGGCATATCCAATTAACATGTATTAGTCCCTTAAGCCAATTAAATGAAATTGGCAAATTTTATATATATTTCTATTATGCTTAAATTTTTTTTATTTTTCTAGTTTTTTGGTCACTAGTTTGATTGGTGATTTGACCAATTTTGAGAGGCCCAAACCTCTAACTAGTTGAGTGGCCAACCCAATATTTATAATGAGCAAGCTTTCTATTCTCCCCCCTACAGCATAGAAGTTCTATCCTCTTCCTACCATCCAGCCGTTCAATTTTGATCAAGAGAGTCACTCACAGTTTGATCTTAGATCGAACGTCTCAAAGTATTTTATTTTTAGGTTTTTTTTTATACAAATTGTATGAATATGAAATTTGGTATGTGTCATCTTCTTATTGGGGTGCACCTATAAAAAATATTAAAAATAATTTTTCGATAAAAGATAATGATCAAAATACCCTTTTAATCTTTCAAAAGGTATTTTGATCATTATATTTTATTGAAAATATGTTTTTTATATTTTTTGCTAGTGCGGGAATGGACGTCCAAATTTTGGTGTCAAAACAATTTATAGAAAAAAAATTAAAATAAAATAATGTAGAGACGTGACATTGTGATTGGGGCAATCTTAGCCGTCCATTCAGAATGGATGGTTGGATAAGGGGGAGGATAGAACTTCTATGTTGTAGCGGAAGTATAGAACCTTTCCCATTTATAATAAGGAAAAAGTTTATATAAATATGTTATCTTATAATGTAGAACTACCGATGCCCCTCAAAAATCCATCAGAAAAGGTAGTTTTAATGTTGAAAAGCCCTTCGATTGATCATCGAGATATACGACTATGAAAAACAAAAAGATTTTAAGTCTTAGAAATAGTGCATTTTACAACATATTATCTACCCCGTCCATTTTCAAGATTTTCATATGTTTATAGATCTACTTGATTTTAACCATTTTTGAAATTTAAAATTTTATAATTAGATATAAAAATAAATTTTGAGATAATCCTAATAACATTATACATCAAAATTATATACCACGATAAAATTTGAAGGGCACCTAACCTCTACACCTACGGAGGAGTCCGTATGCAAACTGCACCCTTATAATAATGGATTTTTGTCTCTCACTAACATGGATCCATTATCTCTCTCTCTAGAAAATGTTTGAAGAAATGGAAGAACGCGTTGAAACAGCAGTGAAGCTAGGAAGAATCACTGAAGACATTCGATCTCAGCACAAAGGCTTTCTTGAGTGGGATAAAAAACCATTCACCTCTCGTGATCACCCCCCCATTGTACAGGTACACAGGGTTAATCCCGGAAATTTTGAATTAGGAACCAAATTTCGGTTATTTCAATTTTCCGTTTTATTTGTTTAGAACTAAAAATTAGATTTGATAGAAAAATATATAATGAGATTATTTACTTTTAGTACAAGGTAACGATCATTATTGAGCATTAGATATGGAATTAGATGGTTGGAGATGTGTCGTTAACTAGGCACAAAATCTAAAATAAAATTTCTCAAATATTGTGACAAATTTTAATCAATTGGATTTCACTGGCTACAAATGATTGTGTCATCCTTGCATCAAAAAATAAATAATTTCATAGTATACAATCCTTTATTTATTCCACCTACTTGTACCTAGCAAACATAATTTTGACAACTTAGCCTTTGTATTCAATGAAACTAGGGTTTTCATAGTATGCTACCCTTTTCAATAAACAAAATGAGGATTTGTATAGCATGCTATCATGTGCATATCAAAGTAATTCTTAACCATCTGATTCAATAAACAACGCACAAGGAGTGATGGAATTCACACAAAGCGAAACACTGCCAGCCGTCTTTTGTTCTCATGGGACGGTCAGGGAGTTGCTATCAAATTGTTCAGACTCGAATGCTGCCATAGTGTACTTTTCTATTGAAAAATATGCACATTTTGGGATATTGTAGACCTAGACAAATTTATAATTTTGTTGAAATTTAATTTTACCATGGAATATTAGTAAGTAATTATATTTACTTGAAATCACTATTAAAAACTTGCCCAAGTTGACTCAGACTCAACTGAATAACTCAGCTTAGGCACCAAGGCGAGTTCTATGCAAACTTGGGATTAGTAAAAAGGTATTAAAATTTTAATTTTTTTTGCTCTATAACCAATAAATGATGCAAAAATATGTTTCACTGTTTCCATCTTTTATGATGCAAAAATAGTGAGCTTTTTTTATTTTCAACAACTATTTCGAGTAGACACCTAATTTTGAAATTGCCACGGATTCGGCAGTAAACATTTTATAATCTTTATTCAAACATTTTATAATCTTTATTCACAACTTTGAACCTTTTTGGGGTTCTATACAACTCGGGTAAGTCCACTCGGACTCACTTGAATTACTTGTCCCTTGAATGAGTTTTTGCACACAACTAGAAATAGTTATGTAAAGTTTGGGAGTACCGAAAGTCCATTGAAATTAAAAAGAATGACCTTGTTAATTTCATGTCATTCCTTTTTTAGATATTAATTGGAGGGGGAGACTTGAAAGAATTGGACAGGGATGGAGTTCCTTTGCCTACACTCGTGTATTTGGCACGTGAGAAGACACCAGAGCGACCCCACAACTTCAAGGCTGGAGCCATGAATGCACTTGTAAATTTCACCCTTCAGCATTACTGTTTCACTTATAATTAAGAAACTTATGCATATATCCCCCACAATTTACTACAAAATTGGTTGCAGTAAATTGAATTGTAGTAAATTGTGGGGGGCCCCACAATTTACTACAAAATTGGTTGTAGTAAATTGAATTGTAGTAAATTGTGAGGGATATATGCATAATTTTCTGTCACATTTCAAATAGGTTGGTTCAAAGAGTGTCATTGAATTGATTAGACTCAAAGTTCAAAAAAAAAAATCTCAAACTTCATGACACACTCTAAACCATCTAATTTGATATTTAATGGAGTAATTATGGCATCTTTGTAATAAAGATTAAATGGTCTTGTAATGTACAATTCCAAATGATAATCCCTCTCTCTCTTGTCAAACAAGTACCTCAATTGCCTGTGATAACTAACAAGTATCTCAATTTCAAGCGAAAACTCATTGTTTCTCTATGCACAGATTAGGGTTTCATCAGTGATCAGCAATGCTCCAATTATTCTCAATGTGGACTGTGATATGCAGTCAAACAATTCAAAATCAGTGAGGGATGCTCTTTGCTTCCTAATGGATGAGGAAACAGGACACCACATCGCTTTTGTGCAGTTCCCTCAATCTTTCAGTAATCTCACCAGAAATGAGCTTTATGATGGCTTTATGAGAGTAATTTCAGCGGTGGGTTTCTCGGAGAATGAATAAAATAATAAAAATTGATCGGTGAAATTTATTGCAAATGGTGCAGCAAGAGCAAAATAGAATATAAATTATGCTTTTGTCCCCCTAAAATTATGTTATTATTAAAAAAAATCAAATTTTTGGCCTTTTATGTTCATGTCTTTTTTTTTTTACTTTTTTATTTTTTCAAACCCAGCTTTGGACTTTAAATATACTAAGTAAAAATAACTTTTTATTGAAGTTTCAAACCATTTTTTTTTAACTCTCAAGTAGTTTTTATGCTGATTGTTTAGTAAATATATTGTCAACTTCGAAGCTAAGTCCGCATTTGCTGTCAAGCATTTTTTACCCTGAAGTCATTTCAACGAAACTTGACATTCGAGGTCCAAAGTCGATACTTAGTTCTTTTAAATCAAGTAGTTTTGGATTTTGAAGATCTTTCAAGCTAAGTCCTAGCTTTGGATCTTCATGATCCAAAACTAAGAATCAATCTTTCACTTTGGAAAATTTGCAAGGGTAAGGACATAAAAATAAACATGGGCGGGGGGGAATTTTCCTTTAAAAAAGAAGAAGAAGGAAACAAGGTGGTACGAATGTAAAAAACAAAAATTCAAGAGTTTATACAATAATTTATTGTCAATAATGTTGCTTTAAGGGGACATGAGCGTAAATTTCTACAAAAAAAAAAAAAAAAAACAAGTTTCATACTATAGTTTTTTTTTTTTCGTTTTAAATATTAGTTCTTGAATTTTATTTAGATTTAATATGGTGATTTGGATGTTATAGGTGAATATGCCAGGCCTGGATAGCCAAGGGGGGGCCCCTTACATTGGGAGTGGATGTTTTCACAGGAGAAGTATTCTTGGTGGGAGGAAATTTAGTGAGGGTAGTAGAGAATATTTGAGTGGTAAGAATTGGGGTAAGAATGAGGAAGAAGCTTGGACATTGGAAGAGAGAAGCAAAGATGTTGCCACTTGCACCTATGAGTTGGGTACCGAGTGGGGAATGGAGGTCTCTATCTCTCATTCTTTTCTTCCCCTTCTGATTCTGACCACCACCACACTCTCTCTCATTGCTTCTCCTTCATAATGTCACTAGCACTAGGCCGGCAGTGGGCTACTTGGCCGGGCCCTGCATGGTTGGCCTGGCCTTGAAAATTAAAGCCTGTCCCATACCATATGGCCCGAGTACTGGACCAGGGCCTGGCAACCACGGCCCGAGGACAAGGCCAGGCCAAGAGTATGACAAAGCCAACTGGTTCTGCCTGGCACTTTATTTTTTATATTTTTCTTTTCTGTATTTGGCCAAGCCAGGCTGCTTGGCATCTTCAGCCCAATCCTAAGGGGACTACAACCGGGTTAGGGCCAGGGCTGGCCCATGGCCAGGCCCAGCCCATTGCCACCCTCTAACACACACCAACAACATTAATATCTCTCTCACTCACACACGAACACTCCAAAACACACAGTGCTTCGCCTTCATAGTGTCCCTAGCATACTTGTATTTCATTAAATATAAAAGGATTACAAACATCACCAAAACTCAAACAATCAACACCTTGGCTACAACCACATTATCAGACTAAACACCCCTTTTAGCCAAATTATCGGCTATATCACTAGCCTCTTTGTAAACATGCATAAAAGAGACACTGAGTTGTGCAGAAATATCCATTATGACCATCCACTTGGACTTAAGGTTCTATGGTGTTCTTGCTTCCCTCCTTCACCAATTGATGATGTTCAAAGAATCACTTCCACATAGCATGGAACGGTTTGAAACCTCTGTAGCACCAATCAGAGTCCTTGCAATAGTGCTTCAATAACAGTCTCAATACCACATGGCCCTGCATAACATATCAACACATCTCCATTTGGATCCATACCACATGGCCCTGCATAACATATCAACACATCTCCATTTGGATCCATTACGACTCCTCCAAAACCAACCTGCCCCCAATTGCCACATGAGCTTCCATCAAAATTTAGCTTTAAAGTACCAGGTTCTGGCAGCTGCCATCACCTTTTGCGTCAGCAGCTTGGACGAATTTACAGCAACATCAATTTTAGATGCACCAAAACCCTCCTTGGTTATTGAAAACCAGCTCCATATAGTATGCTACATCCTTCTCTTCACAATCTCTACTTTCAAAACGGTGCCCTCAAAAAATCTTTTGTTCCTTTCCGACCAAAGTTCTCACAATAAAACAGCTTTTGAAATTCTCCATACATTCTTCCCCACTTTAGAAAGACCAACCATACTCAATTGCTCCAAAATATCCATACGACTCCAGGGGATTGTTGCCACTATCCCCAACGTCCGAAACAACCAACACCATATCCCATAGGTGTATGGACAATGCACAAAAAGATGATCATCAATCTCATAATTCTCTTTGCACATAATACAAATGTTGGCCAATATTTTTCCCCTTTTTCATATGATTATCTAGTGTCAAAGTTTTTCCTTGAAAAAGAATTCATATGATCGACTTCCAAATTTTATTTAATGTCAGAGCACTCCACCTCAATCTATCATAAAACAGTTTGATCCTCTGTTCAACTCTAGCTCCCATACCAATTCATCTTCCATAGTCTTTAATAGACGAACACTCTCAAGCTTACTCAAGAGATCCAAGTATTTGGAAATAATCCCCTCCGTGATCCTATTGTATTGGAAATTAATATTCCATACCATAGTCCTCCCTCCATCATCACATCACATCCCTAACCTTAACCATTGGTTGAGTAGAGATAGCATATAGCTCAAAAAAAAAAAGGCCCAGCCCTTTGGTGAGAATGGAGTCAAAGACTTCATCATAGGACTTGTCGGTGCTACTGCCAAAACCCAACCCATTCTCAAAGTGATATGTCAATGGGGATTTGGGCCCCTACCCTTTGAAGAAAATGGAGTCAAAGATCATAGCATAGGACTCGACCCAAGCATTTCTCGATTGCATATAACATATAGCTCAGGAAAAGGCATATAACATATACTCTCATTGTCTCTCTCTATGGTGCTAACTATGGTTACAACTGCAGATGGGATTAAAGTATGGATGTCCAGTTGAAGATATCATCACAGGTTTATCCATACATTGTAGAGGATGGAGATCCGTATACTGCAACCCAAGTAGAGAAGCGTTCATGGGAGTTACTTCCACCACCCTAGCAGATGCGCTTGTGCAACAAAAGAGGTGGTCCGAGGGTGATCTTCAGGTCATCCTCAGTCAGTATTGTCCCTTCATATATGGATTTGGAAAAATCAAAATGGGCCAAATGATAGGTTATAGCACCTTCTGCCTTTGGGCAGCAAATTCATTACCAACCTGGTGTTATGCTATTGTTCCCTCTCTTTGCCTCTTTAATGGCATCCCATTGTACCCAAAGGTACTCTCTCTCTCTCTC